GACTGGTCGATACAATGAGTGATCTGTGTAACGGAGAATGAAAATCATATCTATATTTGGAAGGTTTCTCCTGTTGTTGCATTTAGAGAGGTGTTACACTTAGGGGGTTGCATCTGATCACCATGTTTTTCCGACAGCAATTTAAACTAAAAGCCATTTAATCGACATCATATGGGTGACAATTTCTATTAATAGAGTCGGTTAAATGGCTGTAGGTAAAATAGATGTTGAGAAATGACATTTTACTGTCACATAATACTCGGAAAACAAACGTTGTTAAGTTAAAAACTTTATATTTGGATTAATGTTTAGGCTAAGGTTAGGAAGAACGATAATATAGCAAAATTGCACAAGAAAAAAATTTTTGTTAGGACTTCAAAGAACTAGACTAAATTTTGAGATAAAAGCTGTTTTTGAATTTCTTTACGCTACACCGGATCTTGGCGGAAAATCATGTGACAGTAAAATCGAACCTACGTTCTGGCGCTGTTGAATATATACTAAACTCCCATAAATGCAATTTTTCTTATTGTCTCTAAATGCAAGCTCTCAAAAGTCTGGTCTCTATGAATTGCTTTTAGGGAATTTCGACTTTATATGAAAAGTTTTATGCTCTGAATCAGATTTGAGACAAAGGTTGCACAAATACTTTTGTATTGCGCAATTTATAAATTGACAGAAACGAACTTAAACATGATTCTTAAGATTTTTTTTTTTTTTATAACACCTTTAATTTGTAATAACCAGTTCATGTTCTTTTATTCGTATAGTGCACATAAATGCTTTTATATTTGTAGAAAGGCGCTAGCCAAAATTACAGCAACAAAAATAATTATAATCATAAATACTGTCATAAATATTATCATAAATTAATAGTCCATTAGTCTTAACGTTCGTGATAAAAATAATAAATCGAATTTTAGCCTTAACATAATTCTTAAACAAATCCTCACTATAAGGACTAGTATTAAACGTGATACTATTCAATGGTTTTTTCGATGCTCAGTCAATCATGGTTTCATAAACTTTCCTAATGCCGATTTCAACAAATAATCAGGTAAATTAAAAGCGTCAACCAATACAACGGCATTAGGTCTAACTTTCTTTATCAATTCAGAAACTTGGATTTTTAGCATTCTCGCTTGCTTCGATGACAAATATTTTTGCTTCAACGATTCAGAAGGCTCTTTTTCAATAGTATGCAATGCAAACAAATTACAAACTGATGTTAAAACTTTTTTTAAGCTTGGGCTATAATGCAAACTGCGTCTTTTTTCGTCAATTGAATCTGATGGTTGAGGTGAGTATGAAACTTTGGACCAATATACATTGACAATGAGCACGTGAAGCTCAATTGATTTCAACGAACGTTGAATTCCAATTTTTGTCGATTGCGAGTTGAACTTCAGAATTCATAAAGAGGCGACGACACAATTCTGATTTGGGTTACTTAGATATTGGAGCATGTGGAAATTGTTGGGATTATGTTTGAATATAAAGTGAATTCTTTATTTGTTGTTTACTATGACCTTGCGATATGTTTTAAAAAGCTAACATAATATTAAAATTAACATTCTTATATACTTGAAAGTCTATTCATACAAAATTGTTCAAACTCACATAACGTGCAATTTAGTGGGTTAAAAGTTAATTGTCACCTTCCCAAGTAGGATTGGTAAATGATCTTGATAAAACATAGTAAATCCACTGAAATTTGAGTATCCATGACCACCGCATGTTCTTCGGCAATCTTCGATAGGATCCACGGCCATTGCAGTGGTTAAAGATTTTAGACCACTGGTGGATACGTGTAAATGAGCGAGCAATGAAAATCACCGCTTGAACTTTGCACATCGTATTGTTTGTAATAAATTCACCAGTAAAAAAAACAACATAGGCTTGCACAACCACAGCAAATAACCTGTATTGTTGCATTGCATAATCTAGAACTGGTGTTTCGATTATTCGGCTATTGATATCCAATAACATTTACTAAAGAGGCTCAAAAAAAACAAAATAAAATAAAACCAAATTATTCGCATTAACACATACGCAGCTCTTTTCAGTCCACCAGCCCACCATTTGGCAGAGGTCAATTGAGGAGAATATATCTCAAACTCATCCGTTTAATGAATATAAGTGGCCGTAGTTTCTAACCCATGAACATTTGATCCATGAACCTATCTCAGATTACGCATAATATCCAGTTATTTCGTGTTTTATTGCCGGCTCAAGAAATTTTCTTTTTTATTCTTTGGTCCTCTGACCCTTATGGTTGGAATGAATATACTATGAACACGATACTTTTTATTTAATTGAAAAGATGTGGATAAAAAGTTCATTAAAAAAAAAGCAAAAAGACTATTTTTCATGAATATTTACAGGTCCAGCCATGCCAAGAAACTGCTTAGCTATTTGATCTATTTGATATTCCTCCACACTCCACTATAATTTAAACAACAAATTAATATCAATCCTTTTTCACAAAAGTAAAAAAAAAAACCAATTTAGTTATTCTTTTATCACTCTTCAAATCATATATATAATTCGGTTCTTCCCATATAGTAAATATTACTTTTATCAAAAGTGTGATCGCTTTACAAAACCTTTAAGATCTTATTTATTTTAGATAACTCATCGGTTCTATACAATGCCTATGTTAATTGTTTAACATCAAATGTTGCTTTAGACCTTTCTATCGCTAATAATCTGATCCTTGAGGATCTGAAGGAGTTAAATGCGATTGGAGTTTGATGTAGGAAGTTATTTTGTATATACAGTATTTGGAGAGTTGGCGAATTGGTATACCATAATTATACATATATAGATATAAATGCATATATACTTCATTTGTGTTGGAAAGATCTTCGAGTTCGTATAATTGGTATAATTTGGTCTCATTTAAAATTATAAGGTAGCTGTGCGACACTGAAAACCAGGAACGTAAAACAACGATATACCAAGAACGGAGTGATGATTTTCTGAAATTTCACTTTTAGAAATGGACCATATCAGATTCTTATAAGCTGTTGCTGAAAATTAAACTTCGAAAAACTAACAATTACAGGTTTCCCTCATATTAGGAACTTCACACAGCACTTTCACATGGTATCTTCTCTAAAATACAATTTCACCGTCGACTCATCAACCCGTAGATCATTCTTTATTTGTCATTTACCCGTTGACTTATCATCGTCTCGTGGATCATTTGGTTTGATCGACGTTGATAGTGATTATGCAAGAACATCGAAGGCTTGGAAGATCGTCGATGGGAGGATCAGTAGAACTAAGCAAACGCGTATCGAAGAAGCATCTCGAGAAAAAGAGCGAGCGACAGCGTATAGTAAACCGATCGAAGGTTTTCATCCGATGAAAAAAAATTCGAATGTGAATCGTTTTTACTTCATGCGGAGCATTAGTTGTGATGAAAATTTTCTTTAGAGAACTAGATACATGATCGTGTGCCGTCAATAAGGTGGTAAAAATAGTAGATTTGTTTTTTCTGGAAAGAACTGTTTTCGATTATTTCTGTCGTTAGATGTTCCGTCTTAAATTTAATGCACCAACTTTGGCCCCGGGGGTCAAAGTTGGTGTACTAAATTTAAAGCCTTTATTTACTATGTGAGACGATCGTTATAGTCGTAAGTTATTGTACAGTATCACCTGCCGAATAAAACTGTCGTTAGGTCTTGCACGTCTGATGATTATAAATCTGATCCGGTTATAATTTCCATCCTATTGGTAAATGAGCATAGTGTACGGTTTCGAAATGTGGCGGTGCTGTTGTACTGATGGAATGACAACAAATAACGTAAATTTTATGTTGATCAGGGTGTTGAGGAGCTGAGTTCACGATTCTTACGCTGTAGTTCTTTTGCTGTGATGTTTGACGATCAGTGATTGTCGATTCGTCATGCTGGTGAAAAATTAGATGTGAAAAATTAAAAGATTGAAAAATACTCATAAGATATAATCATAACATTAGACGTGACTGACATTTAAGTGCTAAAAGGTTACTTTTTTATTAGGATTTGAATTATTTAAATGATTTGATTTTTTTTTTTTCATGTGGATATAATTTACGTGTAGGGGTTTAAAAATAAAGTTTTCATATCGAACCTGTGCAAACACTGAAATTAGAAAGTAACAACCATACCACATACAAAGATAGTATGTCATACTGTTGCAAAGAAGATCATAGCTAAATTTTAAAGGGTTAATGAACAATCGAAGATCACCTTAAGAAAGTTTTGTAATTTATTCTTGCGTGAAAGGTATTAAATCCCTTATGAAAAGTTTTTAAAATCCTTGGATCCTTAGATAGATAGATAGATTTAATTTTAAATTTGAAGTATTATATTGTTATTACTAAATAATTAGATATCAAACATTATTAAACAGAATATATATATTCTTTAAATGTCAGATCATCTCTTATTCAAATTAAATTCTTATATTTGAATTATTGTAATCACACTTTCAATATATATAAAAATAAAGTATGTTTGATTTTAGTTTGTTATATGATTTGTATAAAATTTTATCAAAATTTTTGTGACAATGATTTTATATACAATTGTTAAGATTAATAATAACTGAATCGTTTCTGATTTTATATGCCCTTTTTTTTTCTTTTATATTTATTATAATACTTTTAAATGAATAGTATACAAGACCCAGAGACACCAAAAGAACGTCAAAATCATCTTGCTAGAGAATCTTATGCAAGGCAAAGATTATTGCTCACCACAGAACAACTTGATTATCAATATGCTCAACAACATAATATTTATAGAAGTCATACAGAAGCAGAATCAAATGAACAAGCTGAATATCAACGTAAATCTAGATGTACAGCATATATTAATTCTAATAATGCTGCCCATATACATATATATAACACTAATTCTGTTTTACAGCACTGTTTGGATTTAATGGAAATAGAATGTTCTTAATGTCAAGCATTACACTAGATCGAAGAAAAGGTAGCTGGTGATGCACTTGCACCAGTTTTTAGTATCTGTTGTGCAAATGGCAAAGTAAATCTGTCAGCAATCAATCAACCACCTGAGCTTTTACTTTCATTACTTGCTGGAGAAGATAGCAGATCACATAGTTTTTGAAAAAATATTCGCAAGTATAACTCAGTATTATCTTTTACATCAATGGGTGCAAAGATTGATCAAAATGTGGTTGGTACATGTGGTGTATATAATTTTTGAATCCATAGTGAAGTATATCACCAAATAGGTTTACTTTTACCAGATATTAATATGATACCTGCATTCTTACAAATATATATTTACAATACTGAAGAACAATTAACTTATAGACAAAGCATAATGCCTGAGCTTGATCTTACAATTCTTGAACAACTTCAAGAAATGTTACATGCTGTTAATCTAAATGTTCATATTTTCAACAAATTGCATATATTTTGAGTGAAAATTCTGTTCTTAACTTAAAATTTGTTATTATTAAAGCACATAATAACCAACAGTATACAACTTCTACAGCATCAGAAATTGCAGTTCTTATAGTAGAAAATGGTCAATGAACTGAACCATCAAACTGAGATATTATGCTTTACAAACATGATGACAATTTGCAGCATATTTCATAGTTACATCCTTCTTATATTTCATTATATTATGTTTTACTCTTTTCATATGGTGATTCAGAATGGCATCCTTGTATTCTTGCAAGAAATATAGCTTATAGAAGAAACAATAATCAAAATACAAAAGAGTGTAATAATACTAATTCATGTTATATTACAATGATGCAGTACTATGCTTATCAATTGCAAGTATGAATGAATAATCCATCTACATTACATAGAAGTGGCTGTTTATTTTAACAATATATAGTTGATGTATATGCTTGCATTGAACAAAATCGTCTTAACTATCTGAAACACAACCAAAAGCAGATTTGTGCTGATTTATATAGTGGATTACAGGATCACTTTCGGCTCATGATGAAACACCAAGAGTTGGTTCACAAGTAGGCTATAGAATAGTATTTCTATCCAGTTTTGTTAGTGGACCCCACCATATGCAACAATTGTATCAAGATGCAATGGCTATAGTTGGACAAATAGACAAACCAGACTTATTTATCACAATAATGTGTAATCCAAATTGGTCAGAGATTCAAGCTGCCTTATTATTAGAACAAACATCACAAGATTGACTTAATATTTGTGCTTGAGTATTTTATTTAAAACTATGAGCTCTTCTTGAAGATATTATTAAAAATAGTATCTTTGATAAAACTCTAGCATATATTTATATTATTGAATTACAGAAATGTGTTCTTCTATATACTCATTTACTAATAATACTATCTCCTAATTACAAACCATGTACAACAGAAGATTATGATTGCATTATATCAGCAGACATTCCAGATTCGCACATATGTTTATATGAATATGCAACTATAATACAATATATAATGCATGGTCCATGTGGAGAATATAATATGTGTGCACCTTGCATGCAAGATGGCAAATGTTCAAAAGGTTATCCTAAACCTTTTTAACTTATAACTGCTCAAAATGAAAATTGTTATCCAATATATCATTGTCAAAAAAATGGTCTTACTGTTAAAGTTAAAGGTATTGATCTTGATAATCGATGGGTTGTACCGCACAATTTATATCTTATTAAGAAATTTAACTGCCACATCAACGTTAAAGTTTGTTCTTCAATATATCATCATTTAAATTATATTTATATTTAGTTCAAAGTTGTTTAGGTTAGTTAGGAAAACAGTTCATCAAAATTGTTAAAAATAAATGTCGTAGTTGATAACCTGACTGTATTTCTGATGCTTCTTCAAGACACCAATCCCACTCTAAATCATTTTGCAAAAGATCTAAGGCTTGATATGCATCTTTAAAAGTTGGATATAGAATATTATTTACTATACATAGATGTATAAAAGACTGTGCACTATACACAACATTAAGCAATATATGTAAATAATAATATTTTTCTGCTCCTGGATGTACAAAATATATTCGTCTAATGGCATGATCACAAATATGTTGTTTTCATTTTTTTAAGTGCTTACCAAACACAAACTTTTGAGGAAATTGGGCATAAGTTAAATTTTTTGACAATTGATAAATATTTTGATTACAATT